TATCAGATATATAATTTATTTTTTGCGGAAATATAACCAAAATCCTTGTCCGAGTTAACTAGTTACAGATTCTCAGGTAACTCAAAATACACGCTGTATAACCATTTATTTTTAATACTTATGTTATTGCTGTATATGTACATATTTGTTGTTGGCTGTCCCACCGAGATGCGCTTGTGCACACAGCTAGCGAAGCTATAGACCGCTATACTTTTCATTCATGATCTAATCTTACAGTAATTTATGGCATTTACGAGTTTGCTAACACGTTTTTAGCGAGTGTCCGAAAATTTCGACCTGATCACTAACTCAGGGTGAGTTACACTGTTCCAAGCACCTTGATCACGGAATAACTCAGAGTGAGTAACACTGTTCCAAGCGCCTTGATCACGGAGTAACTCAGAGTGAGTTACACTGTTCCAAGCGCCTTGATCACGGAGTAACTCAGAGTGAGTTACACTGTTCCAAGCGCCTTGATCACAGAGTAACTCAGAGTGAGTTACACTGTTCCAAGCGCCTTGATCAGGGAGTAACTCAGAGTGAGTTACACTGTTCCAAGCGCTTTGATCACGGAGTAACTCAGAGTGAGTTACACTGTTCCAAGCGCCTTGATCACAGAGTAACTCAGAGTGAGTTACACTGTTCCAAGCGCCTTGATCAGGGAGTAACTCAGAGTGAGTTACACTGTTCCAAGCGCCTTGATCACGGAGTAACTCAGAGTGAGTTACACTGTTCTAAGCGCCTTGATTACGGAGTAACTCAGGGTGAGTTACACTGTTCCAAGCACATTGATCACGGAATAACTGAGAGTGAGTTACACTGTTCCAAACGCCTTGATCATGGACTAACTCAGGGTGAGTTACACTGTTCCAAGCGCCTTGATCACGGAGTAACTCAGAGTGAGTTACACTGTTCCAAACGCCTTGATCACGGAGTAACTCAGAGTGAGTTACACTGTTCCAAGCGCCTTGATCACGGACTAACTCAAAGTAAGTTACACTGTTGCAAGCGCCATGATCACGTACTAATTTCACTGTTGCAAGCGCTATGATCACGCATGGAGTAACACCGAGTGAGTTACACCGATGCGAGCGTTATGATCAAGGCGCTTGCAACAGTACCGAAATATCTGAGATAATCATAATCATTTATTCAGTTTAGGCTGTTACAAGCACTCATGAATGTCTACAAGCTACGCTTTCGATTCGTAAATCTACGGCAGGATACCTTGTACTGAGAAAAACCGACAAGAAACTCAGCGAGGGCTGTTTTTCTCTCCCTGTTTTATTATTTATGGAGTCTCCAAGTTGAAAAATGACTTCAGAGATGATTCATGAAGTCACTTTTCATTACATAATGTGAAATATACATTAATTGTTCACCTGCATTTTGATTGCTGTGTCATAGGAGACTCGCTGAAACAAGTTACATGGTAGCAATCTCGTAAACAAACAAATTACTATAATGTTAGTAACCATGAAAGTTAAATACAATACGTTCCAATCTATATACAAAACGAGTACCCCTAGTGCGGTGGTGTCTACCTCTGTATCTCTCTGGACACGGGCCCAAGATGGCCGAAGCCCGACGCTATACTGTTGATTTCCACCTGCTTCCAAGAGCAGTATGGCGTGTGTTTAGCGCACTGCTTCTCTGTGTGCGGACACCGCGACTCCAACATGATGTCGGAACGCAGCATGCCTAGATTTATCGGCTAGCCCGAACAGAGGAAAGAAAATGATGGAGAGACTGCCGCGTGGAATTGACGTCTTTCCAACGGCTTCGTTGTGATATCAACATGGTGTTGCAATGAAGTCTATTCACCCTTTAGCGCAACCGCACATTGAGCCACTAGCAGCAGCCACAGCTGAAGGTGGGTTTTTTCATACTGTCTACTAGTGTTGCCGAACTATCGACAGTTTACATCGAAAATCATGTACCCTATCGATAGAATCGATACAACCGATAGTATCGAAACTATCGATAGCTCAGAACAAGGCAAAACTATCGAATGAGTGCAATACTATAAATACTATCGATACTATTGTAGTTCGTTAATAATAAACTATTAATAGTACCGATACTATCGATACTGTTGATTTTATCTGCAACAATACTATCGATAGTATCGATACTAGCGATTGTTTTAAACTAAAGTTTGTGATTGACTATAATACCTGAAAATTGTAAACAATACTATTGCAAATTGTTAAACTATCGATAGTATGGTTGCAAATAAAATCAACAGTATCGATAATATCGATAGTTTGTTATGAACGAACTACAATGCTATCGATAGTATCGATAGTATTTAACTCATCCGATAGTATTAGCTTTTTCTGTGCTATCGATAGTATCGATACTATCGTAAAGCCGATTGATTGTCATACGATTGGTTGGCTATCGATAGTCGACTATCGATTGGCAACACTACTATCTACAAACTATTATATCGGCGATAACTAAGCGTTTCAGTAGCCGCATTCGAGCCACAAGCTGCGGAGGTCGCTGTGGCCGCGTTTCGATTAAAGCTCGCATCGCGCGCACAATCGCCCACAGTACCTACTACGATGTTTGTCGATAGTTTTGAATCGGCCGACGTTTTCAGTATACTCATCAACAGTTTCAATTTCACAAACGCGTTCGACCGCTGCTGCAAGCTCTAGACGGAATAGGGATGATGATTAATCTTTGTTTCTTCGTTTATCAGGTAGATTATCAAAAAGTACTTGACAAGTTTTTTTTTTTCTTTTCACATAATATAAACATTGCAGAGATATATTGATTTGAAAAGTCGCATGACGTCACGTTTGAGTACACTTTTAAGTGAAAATTCACTAAAAAGTGACGTCACGAGCCCCTACTCCCAAACTTTGACGCAGGGCCGGATTTAGAGGGACAGAGGCCTCTGGGCAACAGAAGAGCGGAGGCCCCCTCACCCCAAATTATTTTCCAGATAAAGTAAACAATTTTTTTTCAGTCGAGTTTTTCAAAAAATAATTTATTGTGCACCAAGTAGATTCCCTTAGTATTGAACAAACACATATAAATATAATCGGAAACAAGAATGATCTGAAATTAAATCTTAGGAGTTAACGAACGGAACCTTTCGAGCTTTTTTCGCCGAAAAATCGTTGATGATTTCGTTGAAATAATGTTGACTAGTGTTTACTAGTTGGAATTTGAAAGATTTTTTTTCCCGAAGTCTCTATTGTGAGGCCCCCCGTTTGCGGAGGCCCCGAGGCTTTCGCCCCGGTTGCCCTCCCCTAAATCCGGCAGTGCTTTGACGCGCTATAACTTTGTCATTTTTTGGTTGATTGCGTAAAGAAAAAATACTCCATTATTTTTTGATCATCTAACTGACGGACTAAATAGAATTTCGTTTACTATACCCCGTCATCATCCCTATTGAATAGAATTCAGCCAAAGTGGCGACAACCAGTGGCCGCCGCTAAGCCACTAGCGGCTGCGATTGGTGACTGCATCTAGTGGCAAGACTGAGTCAATAATGGTCGCATTTAGTGGCTCAATGTGCGGTTGCACTAAATGTGTAGGGTAAATTTATAACAGCCAATTGAGGCGGTAATCACTTAAGCTCAAATTATATGATAGATTACATAATATCGACATTCAGATTAAGTGATTTTTACTATTACCATCAAAAAGTGACAGAGCATCGGTTTGAGCAATCAAAGAAGCAGCGTAGTACAAAACTAATCTACAATTTGAAGGAGATTACAGACTGTATGTGAGACTGTGTATTCTAGGACGGCTCTTAAAAGTAAACTAAATGAACATTAAGACAACTGCACCACTATATTGAGTTAAATAGTTGTGCATTAAATAAAACTTTGATCAACTAAATAACGTAAAGGCGCAATTACACTTGGCCGTTATGTTAGCGCATATTTGAGTGCACCAATGACATTACTCGATTTCGGGCACCCGATATAAAAATTACATTGTTTTACTAACGAGCGGTTACTGGAACACGGGCAAACGACCCTACGCTCGCGTTCCGGACACCAGAGCAGGGCTTGTAACCGGTTTCGAAAATACCGGTAAATAAAGGTTAATACCGGTTTTTAGTAAAGGTTTCGTTCGGAGCGCGTCCGAAATGAAAGCGGTACCTAAAACCTTAATAAACCGGTTTAATCCAGAGCGACACGTGCACGCGTCGGCATCGCTTGAAGTTTGTTCTGTTTGAACTAATCAAGTCACAACTTGTTAATGCTCAGAGATTGATGCATTTATTGACACGTTTGCTAGCGTGTAGTGAGTCAAGTTATTCATTTTGTAGTTGTTTACTGACACACTACTTTACTCACTCGCTCTGTAGTTGGAAAGAAACTGATATAAAATCAGTACCTATAAAGAATTGAAACGGCGAAGGCGATGCCGTCAGTAAGAGCGAAATGAAACCCATTAAAAACCGCTAAATTGATTCAAAACCTTTTAGGAAAACCGTTTTTTTTTAAGGTTAAGGTAGAGCCAAACCTAAATAAAACGCTCCTAATGTACTTGACACTGATTTAAGTTTGAAAATTAACCGGTAAACAAGCCCTGCGCCAGAGTTCTGGAACGTACCTCAGTGATGCCAAATAGGGGATAATTGGTGGGAAAATATCTAGTACTACTGCTTAAAATAAAAATGGCGTCGGGTATGTTCAAATACGGGCGTACTAGACTCAGTTCATTTCTCCGAATCCCATAGGCATACGAGTTAACGGCCAAGAGTAATTGCAGCTTAACGCAAACATTTGATATCACAACGCAACACGACGTCAAACGACATAAAGCGTACAAAATAATTCTCTTCAAATACTCTTTATCTTCAATTTAAGAAGAGATGACATCAACTCTTTAAACAATGTGTGTGATAGACATAATTCAAATTACCAACAGTCTAAACTTAAAATGTACGGACAAGAAAATAGATGGCTGAAGTATCACAGAAGAGTGACAGACGTGATTATGGGAAACCGTTGAAGGATATTTACCTGGGATATTCCCTCGGTGCGAACCTTCACCCAAATATTGTAGAGGTTAGCTGTAAACTCATCCACTTGTAGAGCGTTTTGGAGTGTTTCCTCAAGGAATTCATCATCATGGGCGACCTAAAGACAAGAAAACAAAAACATGTATACACAGTAGCCTTGGTTTTAAAACCATACATAGCAACTTTTCTTCTTATATGCGTAAAATTACAAAACTTTGTTTAGTTAAATAAATTTAGATTTTTAGTAAAATGGTTATTTCCATTACTTCTGAAGTAAAAGCAAATGAGGCATGCTTGTTTTTCTCTCAGATGTTAATTTAAGAATTAATAAAATAAAATAAGGTCCACACTACAATAGGGATGATGACTATTTTTTTTTCTTTGTTTATCAGGTAGATTATCAAAAAGTATTGGACACGTATTTTTTCTTTTTTCACATAATATAAACATTGCCGAGATATATTGATTTGAAAAGTCGCATGACGTCACGTTTGAGTACACTTATAAGTGAAAATTCACTCAAAAGTGACGTCACGAGCCCCTACTCCCAAACTTTGACGTGCTTTGTCATTTTTTGGTTGATTGCCCAAAGAAAAAATACGTGTCCATTATTTTTTGATCATCTTACTGACGGACTAAATAGAATTTCGTTTACTATACCCCGTCATCATCCCTATTTGGAATTTAACACAGCCACGTGTAGATTTTTGTTTTTTTTTTTGAGTGTATGCTGTTGGTCTCAGATGACCTTTACAGCGTCACCGGGTTTGGGGACGGCGAGATCCTAAGGGGACCTCAAGCCGAGAATCGGCGAGTGCCTCTAGAGGTATTCCAGGCGGATGGCGTCTCCCCACGGGGGGTGTCTCCTATCCATCTGGAGCCTCTAGACCACTCGAACCTGAGGGGGTCGGCTTAACTAGAGGGCGTCTCTGAGACTCGGACCTCGGCTCTAGTTAACCGTTGTCGTGGGGGATGTAGATTCTTAATGATTACAAATTACAAATTATAACCATTATGTATCTTCAAATAATTATATGTGTTAATTATTTCTCATTCATATATTCAATTGTCCAAATGTTTATTTTCTGGATAACAACAATTACTACAGCTACTTATGATTCAACTGTAATTATAAGAAATAATTGTTTTTGGCTTTTTAATCAATTCCTGTAACTTTTGGCCAATAAGAACAATAGTTGGGATAACATCTGCAGAGTATTCAAATCAGTAATTACCTTGTGCATAAGTTCATTCAAAACCGGTTGTAGCTCAACTGCTTTGGTAAATTCTGCCCTGGGGAATGGTGAAGGGAGAAGAACAAATGGCGCTATCTGCAAAAGATTTCAGATATTATATTTTAGTGTCACTTAACTTATCTGAATGTCAATTTATTAATATTCACTAATGGGTCTCTGAATGTCGGCCTCATAACAAAATTCAGAGTCACGCAGCGTGCTATGGAGAGGGTTATGCTCGGTGTTTCCCTACGTGATAAGATCCGAAATACGGAGATCCGTAGAAGGACCTGTGTGTACGACATAACCCGAAGAGTATATCCACATTGCTCGAGGATCTGAAAACAGTTGGGTAAGAAAGGTCCTCGAGTGGCGACCACGTACCGGACGACGCAGCGTGGGGCAGCCTCCAACAAGATGGACTGACGACACGTCAAATGTACTTTACTGGGAGCCGCTGGATGCGGATAGCGCAGGACCGCGCATTGTGGTGTTCTATAGGGGAGGCCTTTGTCCAGCAGTGGACGGAGAAAGGCTGATGGATGGATGGAATGGGTAAAAATGGCTCTGTATTGTATTTCTTTTAATTTATTTGCTTTACATTTCAGACGCTACACATACTTAGTTTTCGCTCTTTTCCATTTTCATATCTGATCTCAACTCAGTCTGCTCTACTGCTATTTTAAGATAAATAAATAAATAATAATAAATATTTCCAACATTCACGTCAATTAGCCCTGCCCCAAAGTAAGCACTGTAAGGCTTGTGTTATGGGATACTAGGGTAATGGATAGAATACATATACTGATACCTATTTAATTATGTATATTAATATAGAAATACATATTAAACATCCATGACTGGTGTACAAATGCTTGTATTCATCACATTCTTTCCAATAACTGAAAATTGTTGGCCACCAAAGTAATTCTCGATAGCTGTATGGTAATCTAGCCATGAAAATAAAAAAATTGGGTTGGGTTTAGAAATAAGCTTCCTCGTTCTGGGAAAGCTGACGCTGTGTGGGGGCTCAGGGGGTTTTACTGAAACTCCTGACATCAATTTTAGTTGCTGGAGAGGTACCTACATTTTTTTTTACTTTTTCATGAGAAGGAAAGTACCAAAAATTTGGCTGTCTGTACTTTGTTTCTTTTGCCTTATCACAAAAAAAAAATTATAAAGAAAACAATGTAATTTATCAAAACTGTGTTATTTACTATAGGAAAACTTTTTCTCGGGATGGGGAAGTGTCACTTTAGCAGTTTTGATTTTCTTGTCAAAAATTGTGTTGTGGCGGATGTTAGTGTCTAATAATGGTGGATTATTAACCACTCAGTGTTTGGGAACATCCACAAGTGCTGGCAAGTGAAACAAAATAGTGGAAAGTGTCTTTCAACGTTCCCTCAAGAAGTCCACGGGGAGGTTCCAGTAAAATCCCACACATTTATTGAAACATAGGGAAAGGGGGATTGACTTGACTGCCACTTTGACTTGATTTATTACTTTGACCAGAAATGCTATAGAATTTGTAAACATTTTAACACTTGACATTGGCTAAATGCACAAGCCGTGCGAAGCCATTTAGAAAAAAAAACTATAGAAAAGCAATAATATTTACTATTTTTAATTTATTGACTAAGCTTTGAATGACATCTAAATTTTTTTTTTCTCTATTTTTTTCCAGCTTTCTGTTCTACAACTTTTGACTGGAGTTGTGATTAACTCTTCCTTCTAATTATCAGGGGGGAAATCCATTGACTCCTCCACCACGTGTCTGTTTACAAGGCTGTTCTGTCCATCGATGAGGCTAAGGGGGGCCCTCTGCCGAAGCCTCTTGAAACAGTTGTCAATGCTAATAAGGCATGATGCCATATCATTAGGGTGTGATTTGAGGCGTGAACTATAACGTTTGACCACTTCTTCTATTTCTTCTTTAACATTTGGTACTCCTAAGTCTTTGTGTAATTGATTATTTGTTATGTACCACGGAGCATCAGCAATCATACGCAACGTTTTAGACATCTAAATGAATTGACATTGTAATTATTATATTTGACATTTAATTGGCTATTAATAATAATTGAATTTAAATTGAATTATAACTAACCACAAAAATTTGACGATGGGTAGGCTTAAAACCAGCTGCCCTGTGCCTACTCCTTTTTCCAACTCATATTTAATAATAATAATAATGTAATAATAAGATATGGAAATAAAGCACTTGTATTTGTATTTATTTGTATTTTTTTTTCTTTATAATATCAGCGCCCTGGTATGGAGTCTTTGTATAGAGACTTAATTAACAAACACCTGTTAATCAAAAAACAGTGAAGTGTCAATTCTTGGGCTCTGGAAGTACGGTTTTACCACTACTTGGCCATAGAGGTCATCAAGTTTTCAAACTTGTAATACAAAAATTTGTATTATCTACAAATACCAAGCATGAGCTATCAGTGATGTCCAAAACAATGCCTAATTGTAGGTAGTACTAGTAGTTTTGATAAATTTGTTATATATTTTCTGTATCCTTAGATAAGTAAAATTCAATTAAGACCAAGCTCTCTTTGCCACGGGTGAACGCTGCATTCTCCAACTCTCCTACAGCTAAGCAAACCTACATTGCGCATGGTTACTGGACATGCACATTTTAACAGACATCTTTTCAACATAGGTGTCACGGACAGCCCCCTATACAGAGGATGTATGAAGGCAGAAGAAACAGCTACTCAAGTTCTGCTGGAATGCAACGAAGTGGCCGAATACCGGGCGAAATACCTCGGCTCACCGGGAAACCTTCAAGAGTCAGTCACCAATGTGAAGGCCCTGGGGGCCTTCCTGGCGGAGCTGGGCTAGCTGAAGTGATTCCGGCCATACACCCTTCTCACGCAAAACAGGCGCCATAAGGACGTCGAGTTGCGGAAACGCCCGTAGCAAGAAAAAGAAGAAGAATCTTACAATAGGTAAAAGTACTAACCTGAATTGTGTCTTTGTTAAAATGTTTTTTGTCTCTCATGCCGACTCCATGCATCAGTGCCCAATCCTTGGCTTTCTCTATGATGTTTACCAACACTTTCTGTTCCATTGGCAATGGTAGACAAGTCGCGAAACGAGCTTGCGACATTTTAAGAAGCGAAAAAAATAAAAGCACTTTTGAAACTCACGCAATGAAATTTAAAAAAAAAATAGCAAGCTCTAATCATCAATACATATATTTGACTGTTTGAACTGAACGCCTAGAAAAAAAGCATGGAAAATCTCAAGAAAACTATTTAAATCAGGTGGTACTATCTGTTCTGTCCTGTCATGTCAATTTTTTTTTTTTTTTTTTATATCTTTTTTCCCATCTTGGGAAAGGCAAAGGCAGAGCCATGCAGCCATAGTCTTCATTTAAAGGATTTTTTTTTGTTTCTTTTTTCTATAAGGCCGAAGCCACTTCTTTAATCATAAGATATTTGTCCTAAATAGTCTTTCTAATCCATTTTCAGTTTAGGTACTTATTGTTTCCCCCAAATTTTCAAATCCGATTTTGAATCTTCTTTCAATTTGAATCTTCTTTCTTTCAATCTTATTTGTTTAAAGTCATGAAATTTTTTAAAGTTCCATATCTATGGAAACTAAAAAAATATATAGATATTTGTATGATTTTGGATTCATAACAATGTCTTGAATGTCGCGCGGGATTTCATTATTAGTTTTATATAATTTAATTAAATTGTCAGCTAAAACAAGTCTTTGTATATTATATGCTGTACATTCAAAAAATATATGGTAAACCATCTTTGTGTTTGATCTTTATTTAAATTACAGTTTGTGCATAACGGAGATGTAATTATATTCATTCTATATAAATGTGAATTAAAACGTCCATGTCCAATTCTCAAGCGTGTGATGGTCGTATAAAATTTCCGACTATGGTATTCTTTAGATTTTGTAAACCATGGATGTTGACCAATTACATTATTAATTTTATGATACCATTTTCCTTTTATTACTAGCGTTTGATGCCAATTAATCAACCAATCTTGTTTTAACAAAAATTTTAGTTTGGGTAATAAATCTGAAAAAGGTATGGCAACATTTTTAAAGTCAACGTCATCATTGCTTCGATTTAAAATGGTTCTGGCTAACGTATCAGCTTTCTCATTTCCGATGACTCCTATGTGCGATGGAACCCACATTAAAACTATTTGTACATTGAGGACTTTAAGTTTGTGGTACATTTTTTTAATATCATGTAAAATAAAATTACTTCCAGAGTCAAATCTATTGTTTCGCAAAGCTTGTAAACAACTCATGCTGTCTGTTAACACCAACTATTGAGTGCACTCCTGAATATTTTCCTCTATAAACTCCAATGCAGAAAGAATTGCAAGACACTCCGCAGAAAATATGCTCATCTGGCTTGGAAGTTTGTACCCTAGACCCGTTTTCAAATGAGGTATGTAAATCGCCATTGAAACATTATCATCATTCTTGGAACCGTCTGTATAAATATGTTTATGATTGGAAAACTTATCAATCTTTTTGTAAACTTCTTCTTTAAATTTCAAGTCGGGCGATATATGGATGCTTATGTCACAGAAATGCATATCATAAGTTTCTTTGTAACATATCCAATTATGCTCAGTTTTATTAATGTTGTACTGCTGGTTGTAATTAATATATTCTGAGAAGTCATGAAGCAATTAAGGGATCCTAGACATATTAGTTGGAGAGTATATTCCATATAGAAAGTTATTTTTTTTAATTAATGGATGGGAATGAAATGACAGTAACTTAATCAAAAACTTTGATTTTAAAAATTTAAATCTTAATTGAAGTGGAGGTGTATTGCATTCTACTTCCAGAGAGTTGATAGGAGAGGTTTTCATAGCACCCGTTATGCATCTAAGATTATGATTCTGCAAGACTTCTAATTTTCTTACTAATTGAGAATCAGATCCAAAACATAAAAATCCATATTCAAAGTGACTTCTAACAATTGACTTGTATAACATCAATAATATTTTAGGGTCAATTTTTGATAAACATTTTATGACATTGTAGGCTTTGTAAGCTTTCCCCAAAAGATATTCTACATATTTTTTCCATGAAAGATTATTGGTGAAAATAACACCCAAAAATTTTACTTCACTCTCTACAGGGACAATGACATTATTATATACAATATCAACATTTGTATCACAATCACCAAATACAACTGTTTTAGATTTGTCAGGGCTAATATCTAAATTTAAATAACTGAAATATTCATTTAATTTTAAAAGTGCTCTATTTATAGTAGAGGTTACCTGTTGAATATCAGAACCTGAATGGTAAATGACCAAGTCATCAGCAAATTGCAAGTTTTTTACTTGTGATCCTAAAATGATGTTTAGTTTGTGTACATAAAGAATGTAAAACAATGGAGATAGAATTCCTCCTTGACAGACACCTTTATATGAATAGCGTGGTCCTATTAATTGATTATTAGACTTGAAATAAACCTCACGACCATGCAAAAAATTAAAAATCCACATAACTACTTTTTCAGGAAAACCAAGAGAAAAAAGTTCACGTGCTAAAATATGAGGATTTACATTATTGAAAGCACCAACAACATCAAAGAACACACCAATAAGGACTTCATCTTGTTTAAGTGCATCAAAAATGTCTAGTTGAAGATGTGCTATACTCTCTCTAGAGGATCGGCCCCTGCGAAAACCAAATTGATTGGAAGGTAATAGATTATTGCTTTCAATGAAAAATTCAACTCTTTGTTTGAGTAGCTGTTCAAATACTTTTCCCATACATGATGTCAATGCTATTGGCCGGTATGAATTTGCTTTAGTCTTATCTTTATTTGGTTTCAAAATGGGGACCAAACAATCTTTTTTCCAGTCAATAGGTATAACACAGCAAGACCATAACAAATTATAAACTTTTAAGATGATATTCTTTGTTTTATCTGTAGTATATTTTAGCATTTTATAAAGAATACCATCGAGGCCATGAGCTGTATCCCTACGAGTAGAAACTGCAGTTTTAAATTCTTGTATGTTGAATGGCATTTCTAAGTATTTACAATTATGTACAGGATTCCTATTTACAAATGTCAAAGGGACCTCTACGGTATCTGGTGTATATTTTTTGAGAAATTCTGGTACCCATTCACTATATACATTTTTAGATGGAACAGAAATACCATTAAACCTCCTGACAATCCTCCAGAGCTTTGAAATAGGAGTACATCGATTAAGTGATTCACACAATGACATCCAACTTAAGTTCCTTTCCTTTTTTAAAATGAGCTTTTTCAAAGCTTGTAACTTTTTAAACTTAAGGTAACTTTCCTCTGAGAGGTTATGCTTAAATTCGGTATAAGCTTTCCTACAATTATCTACAGCTGTTTTGCAGTTGTTATTCCACCAAGGCAATGAAACACGTTTCTTAAAAGCTTTTAGAGCTGATATTTGTGGTTGAACAAACTGTCTACTAGTGTGAGTAACAGACTGCTGCAGCGCTAGATTTAATAATATTACCATATCTGAATAACATTTTAATGGATTAGACTGGTCAAATTGTAAATTGTTATTTAATAAGAAATCTACATTTTCACTATATTTTTGCCAGTCTACTAGACGGAAATTAAAATATGTAGGGAGTGCAAGTAAATTTTCAAATGAGTCTTTATTATTACTAATTTCTAATTTTGTAATTACAGGTAAATGGTAGCTGCCTAAAGGGTCATCAGAAACAGACCATTCACATCTCAAAGCCAAAGAGGGTGATACTAGTGTTAAATCCAAAGCATTCCTTTGCCATACACTAGAGCCAACAGTTGTCAGCTGACCATCATTTAGGAGTACTAAGTTGTTGTCATTGATGCTTTCAATAATATCGCGCCCACGTGAATCAATAGAGCTACAGCCCCATGCTGTATGCCGGGCGTTAAAATCGCCAGCAATCAGCAAAGGCCCAGGGATACTGCTGATTAAATAATCAAGTTTTGATTTAGAAAATGAAGGGTTACAGTTACCTGGACTATATAAAGACACAAGAGAAATTTCTTGATTTCCATAATACAATCTTACAGCTATATTTTGAATTGAATCATCAAATGATGTATCTATCTTATGGAATTGCAAACTATTATGAATAAAAATGGCAACGCCATTATGGCGGTTACCTGAATCTAGTCTAATTATATCATAAGTTTTGAGAGTAAACTGAATGTGTGGTTTTAACCATGTCTCAGAAATCAAAGCTACATGAATCTGATTCTCTTGTAGAAAATTTGTTAATAAGTATCTGTGTGCAGGTAAACTCTGAGCATTCCATTGCATTATATTTAAAAAATCCATAAAAAAAAAAGATTAAGTGTTTTGTTTCTTATTTTTATTTATTGTTTCCAAGAGAGTATCTTTTATACTCTGTGTGGAAATAGCTGTTTCATTGTTTTTGTTCATTGTTATTAATTTGGCAATTGACTCTACAACCATATTCAAAATAAAATCAGAGTTTAATAGCAATGCTAGCATATCAGTGGGGCTTTGTTTCAAGGGAGGGAATGATTTCTCATTAATTACAGCAGAGTATGTTTTATTCTGAGCCTTTTCTCTATTTAATAATATTTTTTCTTTTTTTACAGGGCACTGTGACGAAATAGCCACATGGTTCCCCTTGCAATGACAACATACAGCATCCTGACTTGATTTTGTACAGAGTTTAAAGTTATGTGACTCACCACATATGGAGCATCGTTCTGTATTCTTACAAAATTTGGCAATATGTCCATACCTCAGGCACTTAAGACACTGCTTGACTGGGGGTATGTAGGGTCGTAATTCGAAACGCCAGCTGTTGAGGTCGACACTCTCAGGTAATACTGGGCATGAAAATGTGATAGAAACTGTCTTTGTCGGCTCCAATTTATTTTCACCATTATCAGTCCTTATTCTTCTCATAAAACGTCGAATGCTTACGATATTTTTTGTAGAAGTCAATGCAGAGTATATTTGTTCATTCGATAATTCTGTGGGCACATGAGTGATGACACCTGTGACTTCGCTAGCTGCTGCCGGAATAGATGCCGACAGGTTGTATGCTTCCAAGAATTTTCTATTCTGTAATGCCGCGTTAGCCAGACCAGGACGTTCAAATACCACACCGATTTTATATTTATTCACTCTTCGCAACTGTTTTACACCTTTGTTATGTCGCTTCAAGCAGTTTGCTAATCCCATCATGTCTCGATTACCAATAGGCTGATCAGATTTTGTACTCTCAATGAATACCA